TGATTAATCTGTTTATGTTAATGTATGCCGATGACACAGTTTTGTTTTCGGAAGATGTTAACAATCTTCAGCACATGCTAGATTGTCTGCAATGTTACACTGATAAATGGAATTTAACTGTTAATTATGATAAAACTAAAATTGTAATTTTTAGAAAAAGTAAAAGAATCTTACCTACTGAAAACTGGACGTTTAATGGCAAGTCAATTGAGATAGTGGACAAATTTTGTTATCTAGGATTAGTTTTTTATTATAATGGAAGATTCACCGTAGCACAAAACACGTTGGCATCTCAAGGCAGGAATGCTTTTTATCTTTTAAAAAGAAGAATGAAAGATTTTATCCTTAATACTGAAACTAAATTATCTTTGTTTGATACATATGTGACATGCATACTGAACTATGGATGTGAGGTATGGGGTAATTGTTTATCGCCGCAAATCGAAAAAGTCCATCTTCTCTTTCTTAAAGATTTATTAAACGTTAAGAAAACCGTCAATAGTTCTATGGTTTACTTTGAGACAGGAAGTTATTCCTTACATATAAAGCGCAAAGTAGCTATAATTAAATACTGGTTAAATATTTTGAATACAAATAACTGTGTACTAAAAGCATGCTATGATGCACTACTTGAGCTTAATGTCAAAAAGCCGAATTGTAAACTTAACTGGGTTTATCATGTTAAAAATGATTTATATAGAATGGGTTTTAATCATATTTGGGATGTTCAATATGTTCCAAATGAAAAACAATTTGTGGAAATGTATACCCAACGTCTGCATGACGTATTTATTCAGGAATTACGTGGTGCGTTTGAAACATCTTCTAAATGTTATTTATATAGACATCTTGTCGATACTTTTAATATGCAATTCTATTTAGTAAAGCCTTTAACATTTAATACCAAAAAAATGTTGAGTCAATATCGCATGCAGGCGCATTCCCTTAATATCGAATCTGGACGTTATAATGGGGTTCCGAGAGGTCAAAGATTATGTTTTGCCTGTGACAAAAATGATTTAGAAGATGAGATACATTTTATTCTTATTTGTCCTGCTTACTCTGTATTGAGAAACACATACATTAAGCAATATTACTTCCGATGCCCCAGTGTGTATAAATTAATTGAATTATTGTCATGTAAAAGTATTAAAACATTACGTAGATTGGGTCTGTATTTAAAATATGCTACCGCCAAAAGAAAAACCCTCGTGTAGTAATATTGCTAAATGATGTATTCTTTTTATGTGATAATTGCTTATATGGAATTGTCCTCCGCCATCTTGAAAATTTGAAATATGTTTTGTATTCTATGTATCAATTAACCTATATGCTGATTTGCATTCGGAAATAAAAAACTTAAACTTAAACTTAACTAATTCGCCTGTAGGGCGACTTGTTGGTAACATATCTCAGGTAAATATAGAACATATATGATACAAACTATAATTATTCCTACCTTTGATGTTTCTACTATTGCTCTAAAGATGTATGCGTTCAGGGAACACCCCATGTAAACTGTGACTGGTGTTATAACAAGTAAAGGTTATTGCATGGTTTTCCAGTAACAATGAGTGTTGTTACCTGTAGATTCGTAATAACAGGCCACTGCCAATCACAACCCCAGGCGAGATCTTCAGTAAGGCTATGTTTATATCATACCTGTTTACCATAGCGTTTCAAAGCGATATTTTATGGAAAATTCACTTTTGGTTTATATTGAATCTAGTACTTTTATCGAGCATTTGGTGTAGTGAAATGAATACGTGTTTCACGGCACAATTTCTGTGGGGAAAATCGATGTCATCATGCATGCAAACACATTAAGTCAGTGATGTGCTTAGGATGTAAGACCTCATTATATATCTATCCATATAACTTTAGGTGTGATAGAACGTCAAAGGTGTAAGTAGATGGTATACTATAACCGTTTCACCCCTATGTAACTTTAGTAAACTCTTCAATGCTTTTTATCTGGATGAGTCCATTATGGTTTACAGTGGTGAAAGAGTTCAAGCGATATTTAATGCGTCATAATCTAATAATTTAGTTTGTTGTTGTTGTTTTTTTGCAGAGAGGGAGCAGACAGAAATAGCCGGTACAGTACGCTAAAGGACAAGGTGGTACTCGCTAAGGGACAAGGTGGTACTCGATAAGGACAAGGTGGTACTCGCTAAGGGACAAGGTGGTACTCGCTAAAGGACAAGGTGGTACTCGCTAAAGGACAAGGTGGTACTCGATAAGACATAGAGACAATGCAGTCTGCTAAAGGACAAGGTGGTACTCGATAAGACATAGAGACAATGCAGTCTGCTAAAGGACAAGGTGGTACTCGATAAGACATAGAGACAATGCAGTCTGCTAAGGGACAAGGTGGTACTCGATAAGACATAGAGACAATGCAGTCTGCTAAGGGACAAGGTGGTACTCGATAAGACATAGAGACAACGCAGTCTGCTAAAGGACAAGGTGAATACTCTTGAAGATAGTTATATACACCTTATATAATAAACGGCACTAGTTTCCCTTTTTGTGGAAGATGACGGATCCATTGAATAAAAACTATAATGAGGTACGGGATGGACAATCACGGACCATGGTCAATAAAGACAAATTTAAAACCGAGTGTTCTGACCGGAGGCTCGCTATCTGCTGTGTGGTTTTGATTGTGTTAAGCATTGGTATGATGTTGGTGATGTACCATGATATATGGTACTTATCAGGGATGTCAAATAAACTCAAAGACTCTATCCACGACCTCGAGGGAATACATCAACGCTTCACGTGGATAACTCATCGTCTTAGACAAGTACAAAACAACGTGTCTCACCCGCCGGAAGTGTTGAACAGCGTTGGCTAGGTGGTGTGATGCGCCAATAATTAATGCGCACATATATTTCCGCAGTGACTACAAGAAAAGTGTGTCCCAGGAGGATGGATATCACTTATCTGAATATTGAAAGCAGCGTTGTGTGTTCCCCGGGATTTTGTGGCGAAACGCATGACGTATCTGTGGGTCTATCAATTGCATCAGAATCATATGTGTGCAGTTTTAAAAATAGCACACGTAAAGCCGTCAAAAAAGAGACGTTTCTATTTTTATTTTTATTTTTTAACTTTCTTCAATCAATGGAGTAGGACATCAGGCGTAGCCTATCTAATGTAAATGGTAAATAAAACATACCATTGCAATTGTTATAATGTGAATAATTTGTTTCAGTCCTTTACAAAAGACGAACCCGATAAAAAATATGTTGCGACGTATTTGACAAAATTATAGTTGTTCAGAATTTTAGTGTTTGGAAATAGAAACAAATCGAAAATAAGAATCACGGAGTAGAAAGCAATGGTTAAACTAATGATCATTGCACGAAACCCTGCCAATGTTGCCACCAGAATTATAAATTACGTGTTCGATTTATGTACATTGAAAGATACATTCCTTGACAGGGGGGGGGGGGTCTCTAAGCCAGAAAAGAATTTCTCTCTGATGGCTTCTTAATAAATCTGGATAGAACACGTCTCCGCGATTACAACTGGTCCAGTAGTACCACAGGCACTAGCCTCGTCTGTCGATACACCTATAAAATAATCTTATAGGTGTATAACAGACGAGGCTAGTACCTGTGGTAGTACTATTAACATAATGTACCTTTCCAAACTCATTTTATAAGCAATGCAATAAGTATGGTGTAAGAGAGACAACTCCTAGTTGATTTGTGAAATATACGTAAATATATCTATCTAAGAAAATATTAGGAAAATAATAAACGAAAGCCGCTTGCGACATGAATTGATTATTTTCCCAACATTTTCGAATACCGACATATTTTATCCACACATACAAACATATGTTGATTATATCTATTCTACCTAGTAAAGTGTAATTAAAGTTATGTCGTCAGTTCTACTTCAGTGGCTATACGCCTATATTAAGCGAAGTTTCCTAAATAACCTAATTATTCAAATTGGGGTGTTCTGTCGCAAGTGCAAACATTTCTCATATTGTAACAAAACAATGAGATTGCCTGCAGTGGGCACAGGCCCGATCGATCAGCTGATCGGCCGGTTGAGTTGACCCAGTTTTGGAATCGTCTAATTATGGCGTAAAGAACGTTCCAGTATTGATGGAAACTGTTTTGGCTCTTGAAATATAAATGTTGAGATCAACTGGTAATTTCATGACAATTAAATACTCTGTTAATCATTTTTTACGAGTGTGGGTGAAATATTGTACTAGTGCATCGGGTCACGCACGCTAAATATATCTTCATTTAACGAAGCACGTCTATAGAAATTGGACGCTAATAAATTATTCTTGTGTATTATTCAACATTTGTACAAACCGGTGTGATGTTCACGTTGACGAGATGAAGTCAATTCATCTATGTATCGCCTGGTTTGGTCATATTTGGTCACGGTGGCTGTCGTCCGTTCGTGTGCCGCCGTCAACTTTCACGGCCATGTTTGCACTACTTGGCGTCGGCTACATATCGGAAGTCAGTCTTAGAGGGGTGCTATGTACCTATTTATATTATTTATAGCTCGGTTATAAATTGTTAATACCTTCTAAAAGTGTTTTAGGTAATGGTGCAACATTTATTAGCCAAATAGTTTTATCCTTTATCGGGATTACTTTTCTTCGCGCACGGTCACGGTGTAATTAGGATTGCTAGTGGGGCTAGCCAATCAAAACGCCGCTAGGCCACCGTTGCAGCCGAAGGGTATAAATAGGGGTGAGCATGGAGGCTCAGGCGTTTCACCGGTACCGGGTAGGTATCCTTACGCCAGCTCGCAAGATAGTAGTCTTATTCATACACCAGTATTCTTGTCAAGTTATATTCTCTTATAGTTATATTATCTTAGCATAATAGAGAACTCTCACCTTACTTTAAGAGTTTGGCTCTTAGTACTTTGAGTGGTGTCTCTTATAGTTATATACTCTTATAGTTATATTATCTTAGCATAATAGAGAACACTCACCTTACTTTAAGAGTTTGGCTCTTAGTTCTTTGAGTGGTGTTTCATATGTATATTCTCTTAGCATAGTATAGATACTCACCTTACTTTAAGGGCTGATCTCTGGGTAAATATTATCTCCGTTAGTCATGAGTTGCCTTTTAATCTAAGTACAGTCTAGGAAACTTACCATAATATTAGGTTGTAATACTCTGAATCAATGTGAAGTTGATTCCTTAATTCTAGTCGACTCATAGGATAATATATAGGATAATAGGATAGTGTTGATTAGTGTTGTGTTCGAGAATTGGAGAGTTGTCTCCCTTCTATCAATTATAAACAGAATAGGGCCTGTTCTGATAACCTTCAACTTTATTAATCACTCGTCATACATATATTATGGTGAATGCATGTTGTGTAAATACTGAGTACATTCCTTATTGCCATTTATGTAAAAATGGTCTCATTGTTGAAAATAGTGATTATTGTGATTCATTTGTACATATTCATCACATGTTGTGACTTTTAAATAGAATAATATATTTATAGAACTGGATTCCTGTCTTGAGTTTTCTATAAGTCTGAGTCACTACTGGCAAACTGGTAAATTAAGGCTGCAGCTGTAAGAGCACCTGAAGCATAGACTTGTAGTCTACACCCACAGACTTACTATAGTAATACGACTGGACAAGACCACAATACGGGTGTAGGTTTAGTCACGCTACCAACTCAATAGGAAAAAACACACCCGTGGCCAGGTTTTGTCACAATATGATGAATATTTGTCGTCATTTTGACCTGGATATATTTCGGAAGGACGTTACATTTTCAATCGCCATTTGGTCGATACAGGATACACATTGACGTCATGCTTTATGACAGATGTTAATTTCAACCAATCAAAAACCACCAATATATCGACATTGTTCGTCAACATATGAAATATGCATTTGAGAGATTTACAGACACCTTTTGAAGTTACCTTCGTGGTATGTTCGAGAAAAACAAAGTATAAAAAAACCGTAACATTAATTCAAAATCGACAAAACTACGACAAACTATGACGAAGAATTGACTATTGAATAAGTATAAGACCAGGTGTTCCGGCAGGGTGACCGTACAGAAAGGGAAATACGAAGGAATAGAACAAAGGGAAATACGAAGGAATAGAACAAAGGGAAATACGAAGGAATAGAACAAAGGGAAATACGAAGGAATGATATTACATATCAAGGAAAAACTACAACTTCTAGGTGATACACTTATGTTACATATCAAGGAAAAACTACAACTTCTAGGTGATACACTAATGTTACATATCAAGGAAAAACTACAACTTCTAGGTGATACACTTATGTTACATATCAAGGAAAAACTACAAATTCTAGGTGATACACTAATGTTACATATCAAGGAAAAACTACAACTTCTAGGTGATACACTGATGTTATATATCAAGGAAAAACTACAGCTTCTAGGTGATACACTTATGTTACATATTATCAAGGAAAAACTACAACTTCTAGGTGATGCACTAATGTTACATATCAAGGAAAAACTACAGCTTCTAGGTGATACACTTATGTTACATATTATCAAGGAAAAACTACAACTTCTAGGTGATACACTAATGTTACATATCAAGGAAAATCTACAACTTTTAGGTGATACACTTTTGTTACATATTATCAAGGAAAAACAGAACTACAACTTCTAGGTGATACACTATAATGGACCAAAATATTAACTTAGACCTAAAGGGCGTATAACAAGTATCAAAACATAAGATGTCAACTAAATGGGACAAATCATGGCATTAAAATATAAAGACAGCCATACAAACATACGAAGCTACACTAAAGGGGCCATAGCAAAGCATCAACAAATATGTTAGTGCTGCCTAGTTATTATTGTTATCTGGAGTAGGAGTGTTGATGGAGGACTAGTTGGTGTTACAAATTATTTAACTAATAATATTTAATATTTACTGTATTGAATAGAGGTCCCAGTTTTTGATATTAATATATGTTGCAAAATTTATAAAAAAATGATTATTTACAAATGCAGTATACACACATGGCTTTCCATTTTGAAATATATTTGATATATACTGGTTACTATGTAAAGAAAAAATAACAAACAAAAACTGCTGTATTTGTTTTACCTCAGTAATTTTTAATTTTGCTTAGTTCAGAGATAGATAGAGACCATTAGGCATTAGCAAACTAATAGGCTCTCAATAAAAAAAGAATAAAAAATAAAAATAAAAATAACATACAGGACCTTGCACGAGTGCTAGATGTCATGATAATTCGATCCGGTGTTTACATGTCTGTATGTATATGTGTGTGAGTACCTATTCCCTCAGCATGGCTCCTGCTCTGGATCTTCAATGACTGGGTAAGAACACAGTGGTTGTACTAGGGACATTTTAGTGCTGCCCAGTTATAATTGATATCCGAAGTGGGAGTGGTGTTGGGGACTGGTTAATATGATATTAGAATTTAACTTATACTGAAAAATATTGGCTATTTGTTCTGCTATAAAGTAATTAAAATGCTGTTTCTTGCATATTTGTTAAATGTTGATATTTTACTTTCATCGTAAGCATATGCATGTTGACCTGTATTATACATATGTGTGTATATGTTTATATAAATATAAGTGTGTACATATTATAAATATTAGTGTGTATTTTTAGTAGCCATCTATTTGAACTATGGATATTTATTAAAAAAGTACTTTTTAATGTTCCAAGCCAGTGCTTCTATGTTAATGTCTAAATTATAGTTCTGTTATTGTTACAAATGTATGTAACCCAAGGGGGAGGGCTTTTATAGGCATAGTATGTTGCCCAATTCCCATTAAATCACTTGATTTAATAAAAAATATTTTGAAATAAAAAAAATCAACATATTAGGTACAGCAAAAGGAGGACAAGCAAAGCTCCAAAACATGAAGCAACGACGAAATGGAGCATATCAGGGTTCAAGATTTCAAATGGAAATATGAATTTACACAAGGCATTAAAGAAAAAAGACCTATCAATTGAGAAATGCAATGGAATTTCTTACCCTTTGGTAGCCCCTGATGTTGACTATACAGTGTATGTGTAGGGGTATCCTACCCTTTGGTAGCCCCTGATGTTGACTATACAGTGTATGTGTAGGGGTATCCTACCCTTTGGTAGCCCCTGATGTTGACTATACAGTGTATGTGTAGGGGTATCCTACCCTTTGGTAGCCCCTGATGTTGACTATACAGTGTATGTGTAGGGGTATCCTACCCTTTGGTAGCCCCTGATGTTGACTATACAGTGTATGTGTAGGGGTATCCTACCCTTTGGTAGCCCCTGATGTTGACTATACAGTGTATGTGTAGGGGTATCCTACCCTTTGGTAGCCCCTGATGTTGACTATACAGTGTATGTGTAGGGGTATCCTACCCTTTGGTAGCCCCTGATGTTGACTATACAGTGTATGTGTAGGGGTATCCTACCCTTTGGTAGCCCCTGATGTTGACTATACAGTGTATGTGTAGGGGTATCCTACCCTTTGGTAGCCCCTGATGTTGACTATACAGTGTATGTGTAGGGGTATCCTACCCTTTGGTAGCCCCTGATGTTGACTATACAGTGTATGTGTAGGGGTATCCTACCCTTTGGTAGCCCCTGATGTTGACTATACAGTGTATGTGTAGGGGTATCCTACCCTTTGGTAGCCCCTGATGTTGACTATACAGTGTATGTGTAGGGGTATCCTACCCTTTGGTAGCCCCTGATGTTGACTATACAGTGTATGTGTAGGGGTATCCTACCCTTTGGTAGCCCCTGATGTTGACTATACAGTGTATGTGTAGGGGTATCCTACCCTTTGGTAGCCCCTGATGTTGACTATACAGTGTATGTGTAGGGGTATCCTACCCTTTGGTAGCCCCTGATGTTGACTATACAGTGTATGTGTAGGGGTATCCTACCCTTTGGTAGCCCCTGATGTTGACTATACAGTGTATGTGTAGGGGTATCCTACCCTTTGGTAGCCCCTGATGTTGACTATACAGTGTATGTGTAGGGGTATCCTACCCTTTGGTAGCCCCTGATGTTGACTATACAGTGTATGTGTAGGGGTATCCTACCCTTTGGTAGCCCCTGATGTTGACTATACAGTGTATGTGTAGGGGTATCCTACCCTTTGGTAGCCCCTGATGTTGACTATACAGTGTATGTGTAGGGGTATCCTACCCTTTGGTAGCCCCTGATGTTGACTATACAGTGTATGTGTAGGGGTATCCTACCCTTTGGTAGCCCCTGATGTTGACTATACAGTGTATGTGTAGGGGTATCCTACCCTTTGGTAGCCCCTGATGTTGACTATACAGTGTATGTGTAGGGGTATCCTACCCTTTGGTAGCCCCTGATGTTGACTATACAGTGTATGTGTAGGGGTATCCTACCCTTTGGTAGCCCCTGATGTTGACTATACAGTGTATGTGTAGGGGTATCCTACCCTTTGGTAGCCCCTGATGTTGACTATACAGTGTATGTGTAGGGGTATCCTACCCTTTGGTAGCCCCTGATGTTGACTATACAGTGTATGTGTAGGGGTATCCTACCCTTTGGTAGCCCCTGATGTTGACTATACAGTGTATGTGTAGGGGTATCCTACCCTTTGGTAGCCCCTGATGTTGACTATACAGTGTATGTGTAGGGGTATCCTACCCTTTGGTAGCCCCTGATGTTGACTATACAGTGTATGTGTAGGGGTATCCTACCCTTTGGTAGCCCCTGATGTTGACTATACAGTGTATGTGTAGGGGTATCCTACCCTTTGGTAGCCCCTGATGTTGACTATACAGTGTATGTGTAGGGGTATCCTACCCTTTGGTAGCCCCTGATGTTGACTATACAGTGTATGTGTAGGGGTATCCTACCCTTTGGTAGCCCCTGATGTTGACTATACAGTGTATGTGTAGGGGTATCCTACCCTTTGGTAGCCCCTGATGTTGACTATACAGTGTATGTGTAGGGGTATCCTACCCTTTGGTAGCCCCTGATGTTGACTATACAGTGTATGTGTAGGGGTATCCTACCCTTTGGTAGCCCCTGATGTTGACTATACAGTGTATGTGTAGGGGTATCCTACCCTTTGGTAGCCCCTGATGTTGACTATACAGTGTATGTGTAGGGGTATCCTACCCTTTGGTAGCCCCTGATGTTGACTATACAGTGTATGTGTAGGGGTATCCTACCCTTTGGTAGCCCCTGATGTTGACTATACAGTGTATGTGTAGGGGTATCCTACCCTTTGGTAGCCCCTGATGTTGACTATACAGTGTATGTGTAGGGGTATCCTACCCTTTGGTAGCCCCTGATGTTGACTATACAGTGTATGTGTAGGGGTATCCTACCCTTTGGTAGCCCCTGATGTTGACTATACAGTGTATGTGTAGGGGTATCCTACCCTTTGGTAGCCCCTGATGTTGACTATACAGTGTATGTGTAGGGGTATCCTACCCTTTGGTAGCCCCTGATGTTGACTATACAGTGTATGTGTAGGG